TGGCTTTAAAGTGTGATGTTCTGGCTTTAGCATAATCACCTGCTAGCCTGAAGGAGAGAAAGCTCAGGTAGATCCTACCTGCGTGTATAAATACGTGATGGGGGGCATACAGAGTATGAAGACAGAGCCTTCTCAGTTTTGCCCACTGACAGGGCACAAACTGAAACACAGGAAATTCTGTTTAATGATCAGAAAGACCTTTTCACTGTGCAGGTGGAACTGGAACATGTGGCCTAGAGAGGCTGTGGAGTCTCCATCTATGAATATTCAGAACTCAACTAGACAAGCCATGGACAATCTGCTCTCTGATCCAGCTTGAGCAGGGGCAGGACCAGATGAGCTTCAGAGGTGTCCACCAGCCTCCACCGTGCTTCTGTGAAATGCCGCCTTCTCTACCAGTAGTTTTATTAAACCCTGAAAGCAGACTGACACACTGAGTGCCATCCTGTGATCAATTCAAAGGAAATGAATAGTCATCAGGACATGCTTCCAAGCAAGAAAAATATTTCTTAACTTCTAAGCAATCACTGTTTTGGCAAATTATTTATCTGCCAGCTTGAGAGATGAGAACAGGCAATGCCGGTACTCCCTGTATGTTTCTTTTGCTGCAGATCAGTCAGCCAAAGGTTCCTGAGTATGTGAATCTGTCCTTTAAATTATTATTTTGAAACAGTTTGGACAAAAACATATGAAACCCAAACTTTTTCTTCAGGGCATATAGACTGTTTCCCTTCTGCCAGTACCAAAGAGATAAATTAGCTTCATTGCAGAACAACAGAAGACATTCTGAAGGTTTTCTAGAGATTAGTTTATTAGCTAATAAACCAAATGGAATACACGTATTTCATCAAGATAGCAGAAATGCATTATCTCAAACAATAAGCCCAGCATTTGCATGCAGCTCATGACAGCCAAGTGACTGTGAGTAATACAAGAGATACACAATTAACGGGAAGGAGATGCTGAAGGAGAGGGATAAGGATACATGCAGAGCTGGCACAGCAGTGAGGACAATCCCCACGGTGGTTAAAGATGTCAGACTACAGAGGCAGCTGCATTCAGCTCAAGCTGCCTCTGCTGAAACCATGATGAAACCTGCATGAGGCACTCCCACACCACAATCAATGTCGCTGTGCTAATATGCTGAGAGGCACCTTGTGTGCTCGGGCACTGTGCCATGCTACGGCAGCTCTGCACTTCTTATGGCCAGAGTGTGTCCAGCTAGCTCAAAAGCTCACATAGCTCAGGCAAGGGTCTGTCTGTCCCCAGCCACAGGTAAGACCCAAGGAGCAAATTCCAAGGAGCATCTTAGTTTCTTCCCAAGGTGCTCATGAGCCTATAACTAGTTCTGAAACATGCTGAGAGAAGGGAAAAATATTGTAAAGTAAAGGAAGTGGGACACAGGAAAATGGAAATGAGAGAAAAATTATCCTAATAATTAGTAAATATTCTGCTAGGCTTGGCACTGGCTTATAAAGGGCTGGTACACAAGGCAGTGGGGGACTACAAGGCTGGGAGAAGTGGGGGGAAAGTGAAGAAGGGTGGAAAAAAATAGAGCAGAAATAAGATCCCCCTTTGGTACATCTGAAAAATGCTGGGTTTGTTCAGCAGTTCATGAAGCCACTGCCTAAGGCCCTAGGGTGATTTGTGCCTTTAGGGAAACCTGGAGAATGTAGAGCGTCCTCAAATTAACTGCAAAATCAACTTATATTCTGAAAGATGACAAAATGATGTGAGAGAGAATTTAAGGTCTGTCCACAGAAATTAAATTCAAGGAAGTCTTTGGCATTACTGTTGCTAGAAACATAACTGGTCTTATACAGTGTAGCCTGGGAACTGTCTGTCCACTCTACTGAAACAGAAAGAGATCGGGACTTTCAAACACATTAAACATAACTAGAAGACATATTTTGCTTTCAAACTCAGAACTCATTATTATTAAGGATAAATTGGTAGCATAAAGAATGACTGATCTGAGATTTTAGTAGATACATGGTGTCTCCACACCAGTTGACCACTACCAGAACATCCGTAAGTCATTGCTTTTGTCTTGCAGTGTAAGGGTCTGCCTTCGGTTTTCTTTTTTTTCTGGATTTACATTCTTGACTGTATTATAACAGCATCAATCACTCTGACAAAAGTAAATTCAGTATGAAATGTGAAATCTATTTTCCCATAATTATTGACTGTAGCTATTTATATTGTTAAATCAATATTCCCACCTGCTTGCTGACAATACCTTCACCCCATTCCCATTTTCTTTTTAGTTTCATATACATTCTCTGACAAAAGAAGAATGACAAATATTTTTAACACTTCTGTTCAATATAAAATAGTAAGATGCACAGGCAACTGTGAGTGCTTAAAATACCTTCATTAAAACAGGAACTAATCCAAACATTGTTCCATACAAACAACAGTAAACATCTTGGATGAACATAGCAATTAGGTTGGGGATCCCAGGAGAGAGGCTTCAGCTCAAGGTAAAGACAGATGCTCTCTCCCCCGGAGTTGTGACAGATTCACATCCTGTGATGTTTGGATACAGACCTCTTTACTTGCAAGACATTGGTTCATCCTTCATGTAAATAAATGACTACACTTATTTATGCAAGCTTTTTGTTATGCATCCCAGACCTTCAAATTGGGATGTGGGGTATTTTCAGTGAAAGATTCTTACATACTGTACAAACTTTCTATGTCAGTCTCAATGGCCTGGATTCTAGCCTTCACCCATGCAAAACCAAAAGCCACCAAAACCTTTTCTGTTTACTGTAAAGACTGTGATTCTGAGCCACAGCCTTGAGCTATTACTGCTGTGCTGCAGAGCATCTCCAGGAGCTGTTTCTCTCTCCGAGTCACAACTCCTTTTCTTTCATCTTGCTCTGTGCAGGAGCACTAACTTAATATGGGCCTCAAATTTTCTCTCAGGCTACCTCTGCCACCCAGCTGAAAGGTAGTCTTAAATCCCATCTGAATTGGAGGTGGCATATAAAATAATTGCATTTTTATTCCTAAGCACTGGATCCGGAACTAATAGGTAGGACAGCCAAAATTGGGGAACTAGTTCTTGTCCACAGAGCGCACACCACAGCCATGTCCATTGACAGACAAGGACAGAAGATGATGTATAAGTGAGATGTAGTGGATACTTAAAAGGATATTTAAAACTCTTTATGAGAACAGAAACATATTCCATCACGCAGGCTCACATGTGCATTCCTGGAGCTGCAGTGGTACCCTGTGTTATCCAGACATTGCCTGCTGCCGCCAAGGCAGTGGTGTTCAACACGTTCTGTATGTGTGCGTGTGTGCATACATGATGCTTATGAAGGACTGTGGAGCTGGCATCGAAGTCTAAAGCAATAACAGCACAAGCAGAAATAATGCATGACCCTAAACCACCCCAGACGTGAACATAAATGGAAGTTGTCTGGATAAAGACTGACAGCTCTTTGAACACAAGCACTAAGAGATGCATTTGTGGTGCTCCTAGGACTCTGGCTCAAAAAAATCAATGCAAGGATTTGTTCAGCCCAGTATGTGGCATTTTTTCTCCCCTTTTCAGACAGACTAATTTTACCTAGAAACTTGCCATCTGCATTACATCTCCTCTTTATTTTCTGCAGATGATAAGGCATCATCCAAAACTGACTTAATAACACCAGTAAGATGGATTGTCACTTTAGGTTACTCAGGCAGTGGTTAAAATTAATAAAGGTTCAGGCTGCTTCTTCATGCTGCAAAGGCTGTGTGACAGACCAGCCTGCTGAGAAGCCCAGTCATAGGTGCTGGGCCCCAGATCACTCCTCAGACACCAGCATGGTGGCTGCAGCATTCATTTTCTCAGGAAGACATCTGACATTTCCTTCTCTCTCTACTTGCATATCCCTGCTGAAGAGCTGAAAGCGTAACCTCAGCACAGCCAGTGCTCTTCTCTCACACACCAGGCAAGAAATACCATTAGTGAGTGAACGATGTATGAGGTGAGTCGTTTCTGCACCCCCCCCCCCCCCTTTTTGTTCAGGGGTTGGCCATGAGCTGTTGCCTCTCTCCTTCCCCCCCACAGTACATCAGGAATCAAAAGTTTTGACCCTCACTCTCTGCAATGCACTTTTCTTATGCACAACTGCTTCCCAACAGGGGCTGCAGAATTAGGCATAAGGCAGCAGCATATGACAAATGATGCTCTTTTTGTAGACTGCGCAGAGCTGGAGGTCAAACACGCTATTAATAATTCTCTGACTTTTTAAAAGCTGCAGTCCCTCCATTTGTTGGCAACATGATTTTAAAGGTCTGTACACCACTTAAAACAGCAGCTGAACAGAGGCACTTCAGCACTGTCCAATATTGATTTTTTTTTGCCTCTAACTTGCCTCTTTGCTAAGGCTGGTTTCAATATCCTGTGAAGTTTAAGTGGAGGTATTTCCTACCTCAATAGCTGTGCATTGTCATTTGATAGCATAGATAACCCTGTAGTATTTCCCTTAGTAACATGATTTGGCTGAAAGAGCAGGATTGCCACAAATCTCCGTCTTAGACCACTGCAGCCTGCATCACAGGAAGGCAGAGGGAGGAATGAATAGAGGTGGGCTGGAGTGGGGAACCCAGTCACCAGGCTGTTGACCAAACTCAAGCTGTACCAAGAAAAAAATCAATACAGTACAGAGATGGTACAGCAGATTATTTCTGCCTCTAGAGAAGGGGTCCCAAGGAAAGAATAAATTCAAAGCACTAGCTGGCGTGCTCCCACAAATCAGATATTTAAAGGAAAAAGATATTCAGGAAATTTAGCAAATACCCAAAATTAAGGAAACAAAATAAGCATATGTGCAATGTGAAAAAGTGAAAGAAAAATAAGCATTGTGAACATGGGTCTGGCTAATCATGAGATTGGCCTAAAATTCAGGAGATTTCCCCACTGGGGAAGTTAGGACATATATACAATAATATTTGGCTTTGGGGTTTGGGTTGTGTTTTTTTTTGTTGGGGGAAACAGGCAAGGAAAGCAAATGAGATCCTGCTAGAAAAGAAAAAAGGTCCTGAGGAACTACTCTATATTCATACTAGAAAGAAAAAAAAGACAAAGAATGTGTTTTTTGCTTTGTGGGAGGGACAGAGAAGCACAACTGAAAATGACACTGAGAAGGCTGAAGTGCTTCAGCCTACTATTTTTTCTTTAACTCACTGAAAAAAAAATCTAAACCAACTGAGACAACCCACAGACCTTAAAACTTATAAAGAACTTAGGCTGCGTAAAGAGCAGAAAAAGAGCGTACACGGATACATTACATATCTTCAAATCAGGTAGGCCTCATAAAATTCACCCCAGAGTGCTCAGGGAACCGAGTGAAGTAATTTCACAGCCATGAGCAATTATATTTGAGGTATGATGAGGGTGAATGAAGTTCCAGAAGACTGGAAAAGGACCTCTCAGGAGCTCTTCCAGCCATGGTTACCATTCCTGAAAGGAGACAAAAAACAAAGGTAAGATGGTTCATTATTGATCCATAGCTCCTTCTTCAGGAAGCCACAGCAGCAAAACAACTACTTGTTATCCACACTATAGGGAAAGCATAAAGTTTTGAGAACATGGCATCAGGCTTGATCAAATCAAAGGCTCATCATCACAAAACTGTCTCAGATAGTTGCCTGCAGCAGATACTGCTGTTATCTCAAACAAAGCGTAGGGCAAGCATGCCCCAGCATACTCTCTCAGCTCTTAGTAAACAGAAGCTTAGAGACTTACAGAGCTAGAGACTTTTCATCTTTCTGTTAAGAGCCTTCTATGACCTGTAATAGCCCTTAACAGTTACTAATCAAGAGATCATAAAAGTGCTGTCTTTATTGCATGAAATCAGAAGATAATACACAGAAACTGAAAATAGGCACATACTTTACACTACTCTGCCTTGCAGTGACTGTATCTTTGTTCCCAGGTTCAATATATTGTTATCAAGTATACATTCATTTTGTGAACAGCTAATCCTTGAGAAAAGCAACACCAGAATGTCAGCCTAGCTACTTGATATCATTTACATTCAAGCACAGTTACTCCGGCTAGTTTGTCAAAAGCTGCTTCATGTTAGAGTTGAACCAAATTTATTTTAAGCTATAAAGAAACAAAAGACAATCTCTTACATATGGATACACTGCAGCTGGAGAACAGTGATTAAAGGACTTTATTTACATTTCTAGCTGATCAACATCTTTTAGATACTTCTAATGGGAAGAATTGATTTTTTTTGCCCCTACAAAACAGACTTAATCAATTTTGCTACTGGAAATGTTTTATTCAACCATAGCTAAATTTCCCTGCATACACATCTGTCAAAGCAGAAACTATTATTGGAAAAGAGAAGCCTTTTTTGCTGATATAAAGATATCTTCTATTATTTCAACAGAAGCCTATTGATTTTTTGAAACCTTAAAAAAAAAGCTTACTGTAATGCAAATCCCTTAAATATGCAAAATCTTCCCCAAATTACATCAAATATCAGCAAAATTTAATTTGGGCTTACTTTCCTAGGATTTTTTTAAATTATTTTGCATTTGAAATTAAAATCTAGTTGCATTAATTAGAAAAAAAATATTTGCCATCCCTTTTGGATTAATTTATTCTAGGGGTTCTGCAACAATCAAGCTCTTTCTGCAGTGCTGGACTATGACTTAAGAGGCCTTGGTTTCTGTCCTCAGCTCTCCAGCTGGCTCTCTGGGCAAAGGAGGTGACTCACTTCATCTGTAAATGGGGAACCTATACGCTCTGTGCACAGCTTTGATATCTTTGTCCTTCTTGAATACATTACGTACCATGCCACATGGTATCTCACTTCTCAATGCAGATGGAAGCACTTTTCAGTGCTGATCTGCAGGTTATACACTGGGTGCAGGTGAATAAAAAACGCATGTGTTTGTCAGACTGCAATGCCCTTACTCACAACAACGATCAAATGACTGTGAAGTGTAAACTCACCTAATGGTAACGCAAAGGTGGACAAGTCTGCACTTAAATAAGCAGAAAACTCTTTCCAAATCTTTAATCCAGCAACTCTGCAGAAGCATATGAAGTGTGGATTTGCAATGAAAATTCAATACAAACATGCATTATTTGACTGAGTTTCTACAGTGGGCACTGAATTTACATTTACACAAAAAAATATTAACCAAGTTAATTTCAAAAAAGAAGTTCTTGCCTGGCTTTATGTAAATTTGTAACAGCCATAATTTATTTTAAACAGATAAGAAAATCAGAGAGATCTCACCTCCCTGCAATCTGCAGGACACTTGACCTTGACAGGACTTATTAGCATGGGGAAAATAGTCCCTGTGAATATAGCACATGACGATGAATCCTTCAAAATTTAAAAAGGTACGATTAAGAAGAATCCTGTAAAATAGAGCAACAATTAATTTAATGTTTGCTTTCAGTTAGAAAGCCTCCCAGGTCTGTAATCTGATGGATTGTCATATCTATAAATACACTTACTCTCTTAACCTCTTACTATTGGTCGCATACCACAGGCTACATCTGGCACCAGTGCAGTGTTACTGCAGCTGATTTGGCCACCTCAGCAGTAACAGTCTGAAACCTAAATTGCAAATCAGGGCCCTGCTATACTTGGTACCACGGAAACAGGCAGTAGGAGCAATCAGCCCCTGCTCCACCCTGGATCCCCACCCTCTGTGTCATTCACAACATGCTTTGATTCTTGTGACAGTGACAGCAAGGTGATGCTACCAGGCATAACCTCATGGCATACCTTACTGTTGCATTTGGGAGGCAGTAGAGACTGTAAAAGGTGGCTGGTGTCCCTTCTAGAAGCAGAGGTGAAGCCATCACCGAGGTGGTCATGCCCAGCTTGCAGCCGCCTGGGAGCACTGCTCCTGCCTCTGCCCACATCACCCACCACCACCAGTGCATTCTGGGGACCTCACACCCACCATTGTAACCACGGCCGGTGCTGGGCCTGATACCATCTGCTGTCCCACCCTGTCCATGGCCAAGCCGTGGGGTGAGGATGTGGCAAGTTATGCACAGGGTTATGGTGGACAGGGGCTCGACACCCACCTCCCACCACAGCACCTCCCCAGCTTCCTGCTCACACAGCCCTGGCTGGGCCCACCTTCCTTCTTTCCTCTTTGCTTTTTTGTTACCCGGAGTTAGGTGGGACACTGGCGCAGCAGTTTGGAAGCCTGCGTTGTCTGGTGCTTTCTGACTGGATGGACCAGCTGTCAGGGACACAGCCACTGGGTGAGCTGGGGACAAGCACAGTGTGCTGGAGCAGCCGGATCGGGCCCTGCCATGCCACAGCTCCCAGCAGCTGAGGACAAGGCACCCAGCGGCATGGGGATGAAGAGCCAACCACTGCAACTGGATGTTCAGCAAGGAGCAAAGAGGAGCATGGCAGCAACACTCAGCTTTACAGACTTTTATTTGTCAATCTGTACAGAACGCTGTTGCTATCATAATAAGGCATAAAACGCACTATTGAAAAGCTCACGATGGACCGTGTCGTTTCGCCCTGTTGTGGGTCAAAAAGGAGTTTTACAACATTAAACCAGTCACTTTCCCAGTCAGTAAACTTTATATTCATTACAGACAGATTTTTAAAAGAATTACAAAGATTAAAAAACTGTAAACATATAAAACCCAGCAACAACCCAGCGTGGCTTCCTAGGAGAGAGTCTCAGGCATTCCTGCTGCGGGGCCAGTGTGGGGCTGGCAGCAAGAAGGCAAGACTGGCTGGCCAGGGAGCCTGGTGAGGCTGGGACTGTGTGGAGTCACTCCTTTTGGGTGCAAGTCCCCAGCTGGTGCCAGGCAGTTCCCAAATGGCAGCTTCAGCCTCAGACACCTAAAGGGACAGAAACTGAGCAAACGGGTCACTGGGAGCTGTCTGAGCAGCAGGGAGCCAGCCGCAGGCTACCGGCACCTTGCCACAGGGGAGCATCACCATAGCACATGGCATCTCCAGCCCTAATGCAGACCCTTGGGTCCCCTTCGGCAGGCAGGCCCTGGCACACAGATATGTCATGAGGTAGAACATGGGTAACTGTCATGCTTCACTGACAGAAATAAACTGACTGAGGGCACAAATCCCGGTATGTTCTGGGGTACTCCAGGGCTCACCTAAAACCCACCTGGTATGCCCTAAGAGTTAGATCCCCACAGAAGAAAGCTCTCCAGTGATCCACGTGACAACTTTAACCCAAGCAAGGAAAACCACCCAACCCGATTTTAATCACGCTTGTTTTAAAGCATTTAAATTTTGAGCAGGGGAAATCAAATTGCTATGGTGTATGAGAGGGCAATTCATCTCCCTTGGCCTCAGGCTTTGGTACCACCTTGTGTGAGGTGAACGATGCGAAGGCTCGTCCACCGGGTAAATACATTCATTTTCTACCATCAGCCACCAGACAGCAAGTGTTCTGGTCTCTGTCGCATCACACAGCACGAGAACCTGAGAGTCCAGAGGTTTTATATCGCACCACCAACCCACACAGTCCTGTAATGTGTACAGCTATCTTGCTGGGTGATCAGAGAAATATCCTGAGAGTTTTATCTGCTAAACTCCTGCACTTTGCCTTCCTTCACCCCTTCCACAGCACACACAAACACCAAAATAAACTGTTAGTCCCGTTACTGAAATTTTCTTACTCCTCACACACTCCTGCAGTGTCTATTTAGATTATTAGGTTGACTTACATCACCTCAGAATGCTTGGGGAAAACTTGAGGGTTCATTTAAGTATTGCAGGCTCATGATCTGTGACAGGCATTTTACAAAGTGTCAGAAGACTTCCCACTTGATAATAGTATACTGACAGTCAGGGGAGCGTTCCCTTTTCTAGTGCTAATAATCAGCATTAAGGCATGCCACAGTTCCTACAAGAAACCTGTGATCCTTACAGTGTTAGCTGTCATCTTTCTGAAATAATAGAATGCACTCCAATTTTATGCACGTGTATCATTAAAAAATAAAAATAATGGCTCTTAAAACCACCAGCCTTAATTTAGAGCTTCTGTCAGAAAGGTGAGAACAGCGATTCCCATTAGGGACCCAGGCTGGTGAAAGGGTTTTCATCCCCCACAGCACCGGTACCCTGTCCCACATCATCTTGCTGCCCCCAGCTCAGTACCATTTGCCCTCTCACTTGGCAAGGCTTTCCTTGGGCCTCTGGAGGCCACATCCAGCTGCATGCCATCATTGGGGCAGGACAAGAGGCAGTGCTGTCCTCACTACCCCTCTTGAGCAGTGTGTCAGGCCCCACAGGCAATGTCCACATACCCACCAGCCGGCAAACGCCAGCTAAGGAGGAGCCTTCCTCCTCCTGCTTCTCAGGCTACTTCCTTCCTCACTCTCACCTATCACAACAGGCTGAAGGCTTCTCCTTACATCTGGAAGCTATTCCATTTATTTACCCTAGAAATTCAATCCTGAATTCCTGATGACACATCCACAGGGACATAAGGTCTCTGAAGATGACAATGGAGGTGCTGGCAACTGTTGAGTTCCTGCCTGCAAACACACTCCACATCATGACATAAACTGGTGAAATAATCTACAAGGCAGCAGCACCACCTAATAAGAGTGCTCATTTAATTACCAAATAACACTGAACTAAAGCGGCAGTCAGAGCAGCTAACACCTGAAGCAGCATCTCTTTTGCAGGGCCAACATTAAAGACTGAGTACCACACCATGCTATTTACAGTGACCAAAGGCACAAGCCTGGAGCAGGACTGATCCTTGGACCCTTGGTCAAAGGCACCCGTGCCAACACCCGTGGCTGGCAAGCAGGAGGAAGTGAACTGAGTGAGTCCCTGACTGTGGTGCTGCACAAGCCTCCTGACACAAACACCCAGGGAAGAGGGAATGAGGAGGCAAAACGGCCTTCAGTGTCTCTGCATGAGGACCCCACATTTCCAACTGACACTTGTTATGCTGACAACTTGTGCTGCCACATATTCCTGTGAAAAGGGGGACACAAAGGAGATCTCCTTCCCCAAGAGAACTCTTCTCAGGTATGTCACAGTGTGGAAAAAAAAAATAATTCCCAGTATCATGTTAACAATACTCAATATTCCTGATATTTGAGACTTAGCCCACAACTGATGAGGCTGTGACAGTGAATCACAGGTTTCTACTAAGACTCTGCAGTCAGGGACTGTACAGACAGAGCTCTTCACTCATGTTTGGATTTGTCAGGGACACATACATATATATTAACAGGACATACAGATATATTAACCACTGTTCAGTAGGAACTGACAACGGTATATACATCAATCTTCGCTGGTTTTCTCAGCACTGCAAGAACACACCCTTAATGTTCCACAGAAACTGATTGATAACAAAGTGAATAGCATCAGTTGTACAGGTTTTTGGCTACTGTGCCACAGAACTGCGATTAATAACAACACATACACTCGATCACCCCTATGTTAAGTGAGTCCCACATCAGCCAGTAAACTGCCTGATGTTTAACCTTTGTATTTCCCAACAACTGATTTATTTTTTTTACAAATGAAGTGGTTTTTATTGACAGAGCCCCAGAAAGTTCCTTCCTGACCTTTCCTTGCTGGTTATGAGAAGGCTGACAGCCTGGCAATACAAACCCGAAGTTTCAAAAGGACTAGTAAGATACAGACAGCCCCCATATAAGCACAGCCCTGCAGCTGAGCTTAAATTTCTTCTGGCATCCATGCTGCAGGAGACGTGTTCAGTCTCAGCATCCCTGTGCTTTTTCACTGTGGGCCTTTTGAGACTCCAAACAAGAGGTCAGTTAATTCAAGTTATGGCAGTTTTCATACAAAGACATCTGTCCACCAGGAACTAAACTTCTTTTATATGGGTCACTATAGCTATCAGAAGTTAATGACTATCAATCATTCTTAATCGGAACTGAAATGGAGCCACTGACCTCAGTTGAAAGAGCCTTTTGTCTTCTACCACTAGCATGAGCCATATGGTTCCCTGCCCTTTGCCTCTTATTTCATATTTTAAATAATCATCCCTAATTGTACTATTGTTTGAAAATATGGGAGGTTTGTAGTAAGTCATGACCAAGTGGTGCTCTTTTTTCCCTTAGCTCTCACGCAACAGAAGGGATCAGCTTAAAATTAAAGGATAAAAAAGCATTCCTCAATTAAATATTAGCCCTGCTGTTTGAATATTGGTCCTGCTTCTTAACAGTCTACCAAGTACACTATTCACAGTCCTGCAGGCTGAAATAATTAACAGCTTCCAAAGTGTCAAGGTCATTCTTGTTCTATATTGGAGTAATAAGAAAATTATATAGGCAACACACCAATGGAATGTTTCATATTAGGATAAACGAGTATCTGAGGAACCTACTTATCACAAATCTCTTTTTATTCAGTGGTTTTCATTATTTTCTATCAGTTGCAATTTCTCTGGCACATTTTCCCTTTACAAGTGCTCATATGCTTCAAACATTCATTATAGAGCTTAAAAAAAAAACATTTTTGTCAGACAAATAAACTGCATCACCAGCTATCTTTAGCCGCATCTGTTTTCTTTAATGAAACATATTTTCCTGTAGAAATGCTGGCTTAAAAATCATGACCACACTAATTATCTATGGCAAGCACATCTTCCTCAACTAATGACAGCTCGAGCATGTTATCATTTGCACCAGACTTCATTCTGAAATTGAAAGACCCATATAGCTTCGCAGACTCCTTGGAGGACGCAAACCTGCTCCTCCGGTACATCTCCCCTTTCCACATGGACATCATCAGCAGGCTGGACAGCACCACACCCCCCAGGGTTAAAAGACACAGCCCAGCAATAACACAGCGGTCCAAGTGAGCCCCGATCCTAGCACTCTCGTTCTCCAGCCTCTCCATCTCCCGGGCAGCCACCGTGTTGGGATCCACAGTCACGTCTCTGGGTACCACATAGGAAATGATCACCAGCAAAATGCCACTAACCAGGAACAAAATGGCACTGATGAACCCATAGTCCACAGACTTTCCAGCTGCCACCTCTGAGGCAGCGTCCTCCTCCTCAGAGACCAGGGAAGGAGAATCATGCGCCCACTCGGGTGGCAGCTCCCTGCAGGAATGCTGCTGCAGAGGGGCATCCTGGCAGTGGCTGCCTGAAGGACTGGGGGCACTTGCATGCTCCAGGTTTACGTTTTCATCCACGTAGGTGAATGACGTCTCGAGTTCCTGGGCACAGCAGCAGGCTTTCTTCTTCCCTCCATCCTCATTCCTGGTCAGGTGCTCAGGCGGGTGGCAGGGCTGGGAGGTGCCGGAGGGTGCCGGGTGCTCCCAGGGTGAGGTGCCTGGGGGAGACAGCTGGGGTGCCAAGGGGGGCTCAGCCACAGGGCCCCTCTGCAGGGGCTTACAATGCCTTTCATGGTGCACGGCTGCCACTGTAGTGGCTGCTCTGGCGTCCACTTCGCCCCCCTTGTGCTGCTGCTGCTGCTCACAGGGAGGGGAGGGCAGCCTCCAGTCCGTAGCGGTGCCCAGGGGCACCTGCCTGCTCTCCTCTGCCAAGTAAAGAAGCTCCATGCAAGCCATCAACCTTGTCCCGGCAAGCCCTGACTCCTGGGCTACCGCATCCTTCAGCAGATGATGTCCCTGACCTGCAGAAGTGGCTTCACGGTACTGGAGCTGCTGTATCCCAGAAATCTTCTACTCTTTCATCACTGTTTTGTTAGGGACATGGCTTGTGTCAGCTGTTAAATGACTAAATAAATCCTCTCTGACATTCATTTCTTTTCGGTCTGCAAATGAAACAGCAGAGAGGAAAAAAAAAACAAAACAGCAGAAACAAACCTGACAACCTCATAATGATACATTAATAAACCAAAGATAAGATAATGCAAACGTGAAACATCAGTCTTCCTCTCAACTGTTCGAGGGGAGACGGCAAACACGATTGTTTTAACCACGCACTTAAAACTGCAATCCTCTTGCAGATCCAAAATCTATTAGGGAGTCTAATCAACCTTTGACACCAAGATCCAATTAAGGCAGTAAGTCATCTACATAGTGCAGGATAACCGGAATAACTGTGTAAAATGTCAGAGAAACGGTATGTCTGCTCTCTCAGAAGCCAGTAACTCTCCCACCCCTTTCCAAATAAAGACTTAAAACTCTGATTCAAAGACTAATTAGAAAAAAAAAAAACATGCAAATCCCATGTAGCTCAGTAATCCAGGATTTCTGTTCTCTGGTGGAAATCTGATAATCCTATGGGAAAAGCAGCGCTTTCCTATAGCAGATCTCCCGTTCGATTAAGAGCTTTCGGAATGAAATTATGCCTCAAAGACTGATGACTCAAAGGCGGATATTACTTCTCATCTGCAATTAATTCGTTATTACCCCCTTCTTCCGCGCCCCATCCCCCCTCGAGGCCGATGCCCGGTGTCACTAGAAGCCTGCAGCCCGATGAAAGTGTTGCATGCGTAGAAAACACATGTGCGCCCATCGCGTATCCGCGATCGGTTACAACCACTGCTCACTCACGCTCTTCCCGGGACCTCAGCGGGAACCTGCAGCGCAAGCAAATGCGGTCCCCGCCGGCGTCAGGAGCAGCTGGATCCGCACGCAACTGTGTGGCCCGAGTGATGGGGGTTACAGGCGCGCAGGCACGCACAGAAACACACGCAAGCCCGGCAAGCAGGAGCACACCGCCTCCTCCTCCCGCAGGGCTCTCACCTGCTCGGCCCGCCCGCCGCGCTGCTGCCCGCACACCTACCTAATACCCGCACCGCGGACAGCGTCCCGGGGCTCAGCCAGGCGGCGCCGGGAAGGGCAGGGCCGAGCCGAGCCGAGGCGGACAGTGCGGAGCAGAGCCGAGCCCAGCCGAGCCGAGGCGGGCAGTGCCGAGGCGAGGAGGGCGGCGGGCGGGCTGTGCCGCGGGCGGGCGGGCGGGCGGTAGCTGCGGCACGCCGGGAGTTGTAGGCACAGGCGGCCGCGCCGCTGCGGCAGCCCCGGGAGCCGAGCCGGGAGCAGCGCCAGCACTCGCCGCCGCCCCGCGGGCGCCTCCCGGCGGGGGCCTGCAGTGGTCCAGCCGGTGCCTCCTGTGTCTGGGTGCTGGGTTCAAACCTCACCGGGCAGGCATCACGTAATCATAGAATCAGCTAGGATGGAAAAGACCTTTAAGATCATCAAGTCCAAGCATTACCCCAGCACTGCCAAGTCCGCCACTAAACCATGTCACTAAAGGCCTCTTCTAAGTAGTCATTGAACACTTCCAGGGATGGTGATTCCACCACTTCCTTGGGAAGCCTGTTCCAATGTCAGTTACCTCCAAGCCCTACACTCCTGGCACGGGTTTGGACAGGAGCTTCTCTGAGCAAGACTTACAGGAAAGTTTGAGTAATTCAGTCTGTGTTAGCAGACTCTCCACACACTTCCATGCTATGTGGAAGGCATAAATGACTTAAAGGCTGTTGCCAAAAATACATAATAAAATGAATGATAAGTTTTTACAAACCGTCACTGACTTTTCTTGCTGGTGCTTTCTCTGAAGAGATAAACTAGAATGTGAAAATAAACTGTGGAGGAACTGAAGATTTATTATAGGTGGATACTTTGCTGTTGAGGAAAGACCAGGCTTTGGGGAGACAAAGATCAGGGAGGGACCCTTGGAGTGGAGCTGAAATGAGGATGCTCATGGGAAAAAGTGAGCAGCACCTGCCCATTGGTATGGGGCAGGGGCACAGAAGGGAAAGTGAACTGGGGAGGAACCAAATGAGACAGAAGGACAGATTGTCTGAAGGAGGTCACTTGACACCGGAGTACAAGGTGATCCTCTGTAAAGACTCTGCCAATTCTGAAACACTGTACTGTGCAAACAAGCTGAAGTTTTGAAGGCAAATCTTGCTGACACCCGAAAGACCCAGTACAGAAGATTCAAATCTTTGTGCCAGTAACTCCCATGAATGCTAAAATTACTTGCCAGGGTACAGCAATACCAAGGTGCCCATCGCGCAGACTGCTCAGTGCTGTGGGCTGGTTTGGACCACCATTTCAAAGCAGCTCCAGGCAGTGCTTCCGTTAACAGAGTGCAGTTTCAATTATTCACTCTTTGAAGAAAAATTGTAAGGAGAAAATTATGGAGTGAAAACAGCACAGGACGTCCTTGGAGCTTTTTGTAACAATGCCCTCTTTGAAATAAAAGTAAAGGGGGAAAAAAACCCAACCCAAACGCCTAATGAAAGTGAAAAGAAAAATAAAAAGAAAAAAAAAAAAAAAGAGAAAAGCCTGTTGGTAAATTGCTCAAATACTTTAAAGAAAAAGTGAAAGCAGAAACACTCTCTTAAAGGCTAGTGTACATTTCCATCCCAGAGCACACTGATAGGGGCTGCTAACACAAGATGCACCTGCCTTGTCCAATAGACAAATCTTACCTAGGTGACTGCCAGGACAAAACGTGGTGCTCAGCCTCAGCAACACAGCCTGGAAGACAGTGAGAACCTCTCTTGGTCCCAGCACACTCTGCCATGGCCTTGGGTGGAGAGTTTCATACCAATAGCTGATACAAAAGCAGGAAATTGTTGTCACTGATCTTCAAAACTCAGGAGCTACAGCACATTTTCTTGAGCACTTACTAGAACCTTAGTTACATGTTACTTAAGCACACACAAAAGCCTTGCTGCTCTGCCACCCACTCTCCCCATTGCGTGCCAGCTTGTGTCGAGCAAGTGTATACATTTGTTGCTAATAATTACAAGCCCATGAAGTAAGGAGAAAACAAGGGAAAATGACTCTGTCAAGCAAAGTGTTTTCTGTTGTCATATGTCTTCCCAGGTGAAGGTGTCACTCCTTTGCCTCCTACAGTGCAGACTCTTATAGTGAAATCATTGGCTAGTCACAATCCCTTGTACTGGCATTTCTTTTTCTTTGGATACAAAGAGTTAACAGCATTTTTGCTTAAAGAATGTGACTGCTGCCAATGCTTTGAGGTGTGGAGGTGGTGAAATGAATGCATAGCAACACATACTCTGCAAACACAAATACAGCTGGTGAAAAGATTAATCAGGCAAGAGCAGGAAGTAAGGACATTCGTCATAGAAATAAATGGCTGTGCAGAGGTAAAAACCAGATTGATGGACACACAATGGGACAGGAATAAAAGACCGGAGCAGAGTGTCAAGGCTGATGAGCCTTGTTCTCTCTGCTGTAGCCTACCACATCACACAGTCCTTTCAGAGTCTGAGCAGAGCTGTGGTAGCAACACAGTGATAATATGGGATGTGACAGTAGACTGAAAAAGGTGTATCAGGTGGGATATACAGAATTAGATTTAAACTATGCTCTAGACCTGCTTGGAAGTTCTCTTCTATCTGACACAGCTATAAATGAGTATCTGAACTAGATGTATATGGATGTCTTTTCTGTTCTCAGTAAGTTATGTACAGCATAAGACTGGAAGGAGGTGGGTGAGGATCTAGGAGTGGTTTCACCCCACCTAATTATGCTTGCGTTTATAGCCTTGCTGTGGGCCTGACCAGCCCTGAAGGCATCAGAGAAACCAGGGAAAACTGGAATGCGTTTTCTGAATGGTGCATCCCATCATAGGGTGATGAAACATTCTGCTTGCTTTTACCAGTCCAGAAATATTTCTAGTGCTGGATGAGATCCTCAATGGAGCATTCCCCAAGATATTTTCATTCTTTTTTATTCCTTTAGCGATCTTATGTTCACAGAATCTTTAATTCTTTACCCCACACAGTCATAGGACCTTAAGCTTCCAACAGTCCCTGTGCAAGTGCTGGACTGCATAGCTTCTAAGATAAAGGTGCACTCTGGACAGTGTGGCTCAGAGCATAACGTATTCAGAGAAGTCTAAGGAGACTATTGCATAAAATTCCCATTTCCATTCAAATAGATCACATTGCTGAGCAAAGTAAATTGGTTAGGGAGACAATAACAAGGGGCTGCAGGAAAATTTAAAAGCTATTAAAGAAATATACGGACCTGTGTACAAAGTCGGTGCAAAATAATAAGGGCAATAGAAGTGAATAAAGAGGTCAAGCTAAGCTTTTATATAAATACAAAAGAAAAAAGGGATGTAATTTTTTTTTTTTTGCTTAGCAAATGTATTCTGAGGATAGCAAGCAAATATTTAGACAACTCACCATGAAAAGAAGTAGCCAGCATTTCTGTGTGTTTAAAACACATTACTGTCACAGATCTATTGATTTATAAAGCAGAAGTACATAGGAAGGCAATTTAATACTACTTTGGTTGCTTTACTAATGCACATCCATTGTGCATTAATAAAAGACACAGTAAGTACATAAATTTAAAGAGAAATGAAGAAACCATATATAGGTGATCTGATGTACCAGAATTGTCAAGTGGAGATTCAATCTTTGCTAAAGTCTTCCCATGTCTGAGCATGTAAAATCCTGGTTTGGATACCTGGAGCCCCTGAGCAAGAATAAAAGGAGACATTCCTCAGCCTTAGATCAAGGAGTCATCTGGAGGAGCCGGAGTGGGAGAGTGGGCTGTTGACCACTGGAAAAAACAATCTTGTTACAGCCCAGCTGTTTGGGTCACCTTGATTGGACATTTTTAGTTATGTCCAAAGAGACTCTGCAAATAGGAGAAATGCAGCTTAGAAGTATGAATCAATTACTTTACAGGCTAACAGATATGAAGGACATTGCAGGATTTAAGGAGCTGTCAGGCTGAGGTCTGCTCCCTGCTGCGGCACCCATGGAGCCTTGCTGGCCTCAGGGCACTGGGAGGGCAAAAGCCAGGTCTGGGTGTCCCAGAGCTGCTGCCTCCCACCCACTCTGGCCACACCAGTGACTGGAGCAGGACCTGACTGACCCCGTTACCCTGTGCTTTGCCATTCATCCCAACCAGACTTTCTGCTTTCCTCCTTCAGGAGCTCATACTTGGCCATTTTCCCTTGAGCAACAGACTGCCCCTGCCTCAACACCCTGCCCTTTGACTATACCTTTATTTTTCTAGCGTCCCACTGACTTTCTCACAGCTCTTTCTCAGCAGTCTGTGCTCCAGTTGTACAGTGGGACATACCTGAGCTGTCCCTGCCCTGTCCAAAGCAGACTGGATGCCTAGTGCCAGGGACCGGGACACCATTATAGGTGCCTAAGCAGTTGGACACTGGAGTGGTGGTGATGCCTCCAAACAGCCCCCCCCTGCCGTGGGCCTGGGGTCATCACATATCCCCACAGGCCCACTGATGGGGAAATACTGGCACTCTGGAGTTGACTGCGAGCACTTATGTCTCCATCTGTTTCCCACCATGACCACACCTTGGACATTAAGGACATGTCTCTCCCTGGGTCACCTCACAGACTGGAGGCTGCAGCCCTGAATGCTCTGTAACTGCTGAGTGTCAGACTTCATGCACACAGCTGATCCCTTTCTTTGCCTTTTCCAGGTGCTTCCCTCGGTGGTTGTTCTCATCACCTTGTGCACACTTACATGGGAAGACAGTGATTCACCTCCAGTAATCATGTGTTAGATCTGGGAGTTTTAGTCCAGCACAGCCTTGTAAAATACTGATTATGCAATGGAGGAATGCAGAGGAAAAGTGAGATGATAGACTACCCTGCAGGGAAGCAAACCTGAAAATCAGAGACTGCTCAGGGGAGGAATAAAGAAATCACCTAAGAGCTTTTAAGCTAGGGACTTAAAGGACAGAGGATAGTGCAGAAAAAATAGGGAGTGCAACATAATATGAGGAAATAACAGCTTCACCCATAACCTAGTGATTTTTCATTATGCTGCATCTGGAAACAAAAATTACTCATGGCTGTTTCAGTACAGATAAACTATGGGTGAAAGAAGAAAGT